ATGCGTTTAGCGTGATATTGTTCTCTGTCCCGATGATTTCAGGTTCGTAACCGATAATGTTCTAAGACTTGTTTCCTGCTGACTTCACCAATTTGGGTTGACTTACACCACTGCTCCATTCTGTTGAATAGGGAAATTTCCTGTACCAGAGTCAGTTGTTTAATGTGTATGTAATGGTGAGTGAAGGAGTTGAGTGCAACTCTCAAGAAAGGGGCAACTAGTTCGAGGTGTGTGTGAGAGAACGTATAAAGATTCCCCGTGTTGTTTGGTCGTAGTGGGGTGAATCCGTATCCATGATACAGAGGCACCGTGACTGACTCAAGTGGGGGCGAGTAAACACATTGTTTGGATCCATTTTCGATCCTGTTGCCATCACGTACAAACAAACCGATTGACCAAGACTTGATTTGAGTTGGTTGGCACAATGGTAACAAACAACCCTCGCATGCGATGGGTCCTGAGTTCTAAGCCCCGACAGGGTAGTGGACATGCAATACTGATCAGCCCTTATAAGAGCGAAACTCGAGTCTAGCGTATGCGAGTGTTTGGGTAAATAGATGCGTGAAGACCCGAAGGAAGTTCAGTTCAAATCAACAGTAATTATCTCACAGCACTACTCACAAGTGACCGTAAGGTAAATGTGAAGTAGCAAAGCTTTTAATCAAAACCTGCTCTGTTCGGTGATCTTTGCGAGCGATAAAACTTACTTTTGTAAATAAACTGTTTTTTAACCGCTGATGGTCATACTGTTTAAAAAAGTGAGTTAATTATTTTGCGACCTATCCACTAGCGTTTATTGCAACACTAACAAAGTTGTTTAGTCAACAGTGATATACGATCGAAACGCGTGCCTGAAGCTAAGCCACCAGACAGAGTATATTGGGCGATCATTGTACCACACGCATATGCACAGGGCAAATCGAAAATGACAAAGTGATGCACCAATCAGATTATGTTCTCCACTCTCTGATTGGTTGATCGGATGACCGTTGTCCGATTAGTTTAGCAATCATCCAATTAGGTCTCAGCTTTTTGTTGGTGTCACGAGTGTCACGTAGCGTGATCTGGTGCGAGACCGGCAATTTCTGAGAACTCCGTCCTAACAGACTGGGATAGCAAATCTTTCTTGAAAATAAAGGTGCCTAAGAGACAGAGGTATGGCATTGGCGCTGTTTGATTGAACTGTGCTGTGAACACTGTACGATAAGATGGAAACCACGGTGCATGTTCGTTTGGCTCACAGTAGCACCGAGCCAGCGGGGGCTAGGTAGATTGAGTGGTACATCCTTAAACAACAAAAATATTGCAGTATCCACTGCCTGTTAAACAGACGTATGCTCCCGTGGTCGACTGATATCACAAATAAGCGGATAATCTATCGTACAGACTACACAGAGCACAATAACTCAAGTTTTTCAGCCCGTAGAACAAATACCCGTCCCCACATAACTCTGTACTCAACCTGTAGACAGTCAATTAACTGAGTCACATTGTAAAAGATGTATTCAAGCGCAAAACGAGCACTGCGATGCACGAGAAATACTTGAGTAGTGGGAAGAGAGAGAAACAACGTCAGAGGGGTATAAAGACAAGGTAGGGTGGTAGAAGAGCGGGGGTGGGGGGGTCAACGAAACCTGTACAAACTGGAACTTTGTTTGAGGTCCGGGGTGATGAGTAGACCGGCGGGGATGAGGGGAATTAAACGGTTCCTCAGCTTCATTATGGTTTCCACAGTCGAAGTAGACCATCCTCAGAATAGGTGGCGATCAGATTCTGATGTGGATGATGGGCGCAACCGATCACTTCCTTCTCGTGAACCTGTTAGATTTTGTAGAAGCAATGGGAAAGTAGAGTGAGCGAGTCAAAACGAACACGTAAGTGTCAATCACACGAATATTGGTAACAGAGGGATGAAACAATAGATGTACGAAGGATATGTGAATGGATATTATAGAAGATACTTTACAACGAACAGTTCTTAGCTATCAAGCATGTGACGATAGAATCCAACTCATCATGGGTTGAGGATGGGTGATTCGGATTCAGTGTGGTCTCGTGGATCAGGTAGTGGAGCGTGAAAAGAAGTAGGCGGTTTCCACGGGGGCCGGGTTCGAATCCTACCGAGGCTACTGAGCGTTTCCCAACAGCAACATAAGAATTCAATCTGCAAAAATCCCGAATGTCCTCGAAAGATACATTCAAAGTCCGGTATAGTGAATTGTTCTGTCTATATGTACCTATTTGCTCTAGTGCGCAAACTAAGACATGTCACGTGCCACTTTCTATCCTGTAATCTTCTTCAAGACAAGGTAAATTAACCTTTATGCGCCCAATAGAGTGGAGTTTCGGTACTGTAGACAAGCTACGGTGAAGTAAACGTGCACATTGAGCGCTAACTGACAATCTGCGTATTCTCCATCTACGCGAAACAATTCTGTGCTGCTTATCTCCAATGCAGTTTGGTCGCAGTGAACAGGTGTGGAAACGTGGCCCTTGATAACAATCAGTCTGGATGTTCAAAAAAACTTGGGGCGCGAAAGCCCTATTGTGGGTTGCGACTAAAACACTGCGAGTTTTGATTAAAGCTTGATGGCGAAAGGTATAGAACGATTTGTAGTAAACAACTCGGTCAAATTGTACAGGATGGTGGCTACGGTCAATAACCGAAAGAAATATGACTGAATGCATTCATCTTTTACTGAGTAGGTTGGAAAACAGCCCAATTCTGCAAAGTGATCGTCGATTTACAGTGGTGTTTTCATTGTCGCTGTCGAGCATAGCATTATACAAAAGGAATTTAGTTAATGTTGAAATTGTGAAAAGTTCGGTAGAGGCTACTGAACTTTTCACAATTTCAAGAAAAAACTTGAATCAGTCGAAGATCAATTTGAATTTAGTTTAACTACTGATAACGGAATCAGTAGTTAGATTGTACCAGCAGTAAAAACGGAAAAAGATTGCCGTGAACCCAGAACTCCAGAGATGGACAATCTTCGGTTCGCCTTAGTAAATGCATTCACTTACATCGTAACGGTAAACCTACGATAAAAATGATTCATTTTAGTTGTTTGGGCAGATTTGGTTTGTTCGGGAAAAGTGCAGCAGGTTTAACGTTGTCTATTAGCAACGAAAAACTCAGTCAGAAAATATAATCGCACGTGCCTATCGAATAGACCTAAAACACCTCTCATCCTACCAATAGCGTGTGATATACTACGAATTCGGCAATCGTTCAACACGTAGCCAGTGATCAATGATTACAAACAGATATACAATGGGTGCACAGTGCTTCTAAAGGTCGTAAATGATTTTGTGACTATGCACGACGAATATGACTCTTATGAAGTCACATTGCGATTGTGAAAAGTCCACCAGCCTCGGTGGGATTCGAACCCACGACGCACGAACGCGTAGGAATTAAACGGTCACGATAAGATAAATTCATTAATTGAGCGCATCGAAAAAGTAAAGTACAGGAGTTCTCGATTGTTGTGTGCATAAGGGATAAATCATTTTGGCTAACGAACACACACGATAATCAATGTGCGACCTTTGCAGTACCGGTTTAATCAAATGACACACACGGTCCCAAGATGAGATCGTTTCAGGTTCATTCAGGTTCGTTCGTTTCAGGTCATAGCAAAAGAAACACTGCACCTTCGTGCGGTAATTTACGTGGTTGTCTTTTCAGCTTTCCAATTCAACGGACAATGATCACAGAATAGAGGGAATAAAAGAAGCTGGGAGGAGTGCGAAGGCGTAGAGAGAGAGAGAATTTAGGTCTCTACAATTGTTCTTCCTTCCCGACAAAAAAATAGGTTAGATAAATTTGCTTGTTCGCCGGAGTTGGACAGAGAGAAACAGAGTTAGCTAGTTCACTTACTGGCATGGTTCGTTCCAACTTTCCACCGGCAACCACATTGAAGCAGTACAAGAGGCGATCCTCGGCCACACAATAAATCCATTCACCGCGACTACTGACACAACAGTCAATAAAATCACCACCTTCACGTTTACCGTTGGAGAAACTTCGTACTACCTGTCAAAAGAAAACGACGATGTGAGCACATATGTGGATCGAAACCGCACAAAAATTGGGAAACCGTCGGAATACGTGAACCCGTACTGTAGCACTCAGAACTGGATTGGCTCTAATTCGAACTGCGGATACCAATGAAATACACGGAGAACTGGTATCAGCAAGTGACCATATTTATTCATTGAGATAGGGCGTTTTATAGAAATTAATAGGCAATAGCGTTGGTGGAAGGTCCATCGTCCAATCACGTGAGCGTTTGTGCAGACGCATTGCATGTACTAACCCTGATGTAATGTTCGCTCGGTGTACTATTGGTCCAGCTTCCTGAACTTTGATGGGATGACATGAAGCTGTACCTGGTCGTGCCTGGAATGCGGTCAAGTATGTTTGAATCGCCACAGAAATATATCAACATTGTGATGGATTTTATTTCAAGGATTGCTTGACGTGATTGGCTGACTGAGAATGGGGATGATAGGGTTGACTAAATATAAGAACAATCATGATTTTTTTTCAATTTCCTGCATGCATTATCGATTTTTCGGCCAAATAGAAGGAAGGAAGCTTGGTAGCGATAGTGTGATTCGGTTACTTTAATCACTGGACCACTAACGCTTTACTAGCATCGCGTGCTGTGCACTTAAAAACTGAATGTCTCGAACGGAATGTCAAAATTCCGTCCATCGTTTAATCTCCTCGTTCAATTTACAGCGCTTTTGTGGAAGAAAGTTAGATACCATTTTGATTTTTTTTGGTTCGCGTCGTTGAGATGGGGGCTAAATTCCACAGTCACAAGGACTCAGTGAGTAAAATAGTGACTTGAGGGCCTCAGAACTGAACCTCTACGACATAGCGTTCCCCGTAACACAAACATCTGAAAGCTCTTCAAAACTCAGCGATAGCATTATCAAAACACACAATGCTGATTTTTCTTGGACTCACTTGACCCTGCATGTTCATAATGGCCACAGTGTTCGAGCGGCTAGCAACCACAAACTGGTCCGCGTTCCGAGGCACCGGGATGACCGAGTGAATGGCAACTTCGCGACCGACTAGACCGGAAATAGCCTAACCAAGCAAGGATCGATTGATATCGGTATAATTGAGCGGGATTGAAGACGTAGAGAGGAAGAGAAGGAAAACCATAGAAGAGATTAATCTTTTTTTGGTAGATTACGGTGCAAAGGACAATAAGAACTGATAAATAAATTCAGACAATACTTTCAACTTCTATCTGCTTATGTGGATCTTTTCACACCCTTAAAGGACACATAACTGTGTAACTAAATTCCATAAAGAGGGAATGGGTAATTCTGTTCATCCGGATAAAGGTAGAAGCAAATGAGTTTTTTAAATGAAACAGAAGCCTGTATGAATCGCTCACTTCTATGGAATTGAAAGAAATGAGCGCGTAGACATATAAGCGCCTTTTCCTACGAAACTTAGCAATCTATTCCGGAATTTCTCTAACTATCGATTAGACTGGCCCCCGGCACGATCTACATGCTCCAGTCCACTAGCTAAAGGCTTCGCACCACACACCAAGTTCGGACCATCCGTGATCATCCTCCAAACACTCGGTTTCTTCACAAACCTTGTTCGCCAAGAAAGTATATGCGGAAAAAGATGTCAATCCGCATCAGTAATTGTATAACCGAGGACGGTTGAAGAGAAGGAGAACTCCCTGATAAGGGATCAAAGAGAAATAGACAACCATATGACAGTGAGAGAGAGGGCAAGAAAAATGTGCTTACCTTGAATGTGTTTGTGCATTCACCCGATCGAATGGACCACACACGGACCGATCCGTCTGAGCTTCCACTGATGATATAATGTCCGTCCGGACTGTAGCCGACTGAGTTGACAACCGCTGTGTGTCCCAAAAACTCTTTGATCAATTTGCCCGATTTAAGCCCGTGAATGCTAAAGTAAGATCAGCAAATGATCAGTTTGGCGTGTGCGGAAAAGTGTCGATGTATCGGACAAAAGATGCAGTAAGTTATCAAAACACATTAGGCAACTGGAAACCCGGTCGTGAAGTTAATTTTTCTCTGATCGGTGTATTGCTTTTACTAATAATGGATATGACCATCAGTGGAAGCATCACCGCCGCATAATAAAACGCAGTTTCGATGGGCATGCATATAAGCAGTTCAGTTGTTCGTACAACCACTAACCATGCATTATCGTGCGCCGGTTTTGGTTGCTGTCTTTTGGCTGCCCATTTGGATGAACAGTAGGAAAAAGACAGGAAAGGTTGAGAGTAAGAGAAAAGTTAGAAATTCAGTGCACCAATGTTGTAGAGAAATTGGCAAGATGCACGAACGCCACTGTTTACGACACCTAGCCATATCACTCAGTG